CTGTGTGTACAGTGTGTCCATAGCAGGCAGTTCAGTCCCAGTGATCCTCTCTGCAGTCTTTATGACCCTTTGAAGAGCCTTCCTCTCTGCCTGTGTAGTGTTACCGTACCAGACTGTGATGCCAGTAGTGAGGATGCTCTCTACCAGTTCTCTATAAGCCTAGGTGAGAGGGTGATGGTACAACCCAGCTTTTCTGAGCCGCCTCATGAAGTATAGCCGCTGCTGGGCTTTCTTCACTGTGTTCAGTGACCAGCTTAGGTCAGATGTCACCTGCAGGCCCAGGAACTTGTGGCCCTCAGCCCTCTCCACCTCAGTCCCTTTGATGGTCAGAGGCAGCAGAGGGGAGGGGTTCTTCCTGAAGTCTACTATTATTTCTTTTGTCTTGTTTATATTGAGGATGAGGTCATTCTCCTCTCCATAAACAAGAATGTCGTTCACCAAGCTTCTGTAACCTGACTTGTCTCCCCCCTTGATGAAGCCCAGAATTCATTTTAAGCTATTGATTTTTGTTTTTAAGGCTCTTAATGGTTTGGTCCTACCTCGCTATGTTGGTAAGGTGGCGCGAACCTACAAGATTGCTCAGATCATCAAGCCAGTTTACCAGATACAAACGCTGGGGTGACCGTGCTTTACTGTTGCAGCTCCTAAAACCCTTCTACAAGCACAGTGCATACCACATCCTATTTGAAAGCCCATTTACACGGATTCCGTGAGAGTTCTCTGGGACGGTGATCCAAAGTTAAATAGTGCAGTAACAGATTATCCAGGCAGGCAGTGGTAAAAGCAAAGATGCCATTTATCTAGTAAGTCAGTCTGCCATCAATATTATTTTGAATTTGTTATTTTAAAAATGTTATGTATTGTTGCTTTAAAAAGGTATGAAAGCATGTTCGGCTTGAAATACATACGTGCTACTGTGGTGTATATTCCTTGTTGTTCAAAGGTGTCATCCAAATGCTTGCCTTGCCTCATCTAAACATTTATATCTGTATTTTAACTAATGTGATCTTTTGAATTCTTTATTCTAGTTTTATTGTCCATATGTTCATTGCTTTGTGATCCAAACCCAGATGACCCCTTAGTTCCAGACATAGCAGACATCTACAAGAACGACAAAGACAAGTGAGTATACACACAGGCTTCATTGTTCACTAATATCAATGTCCACATCACATGATGGGTGTACTTGATGTTGTCAGTGGTTCTTTACTCACTTCACTCTCTTCTGTTCTCTCCTCAGATACAACAAATTAGCAAAAGAATGGACTCAAAAGTATGCCATGTAAAAAAAACATCAAAGATGAAAAGTAATGTGCTGAGATTTTTTTCCTTCGTTTTTAAATGTCACAACACTCTGTAGATTATAGTAAGGAATGATTAGATAATCTAATTTTAGGTAATTCCTATCAAACCATACTGTCAAAATCATAGATTATTAATCCGAGACCATGTTTTTTGAAAGAAAGCAGAACTTTTTTATTTTGAGCAGATGAGAAAGTCTGCCAGTGGTAATTTAAAATTCAAATGTCAATGATATTCCCCAAACTTTGCTTCTTAAAACATAATTTTTATTAAGTACAACTAATTAATTATAGGTCATAGATCCCACAATATGCATTCAGCAAAGAGCCTTTTCCAGAAGATCTAATTAATAGTGCAGCAGGATAACCTACTGCTCCATAAAAGGAAAATCCTAGCTTTACTGTGTCCATGAGTAGCTAGCAAAATATAAACAAAACACACACACACTGAGCCATGGGAATGTTAAAGTATGAATACCAAAATATGTAAGCCATTATTTTGGCATTGTGTTTAAAAGAAAAATAAAAGAATACTGACAGGATTATAATATAGATTCACTTCACCCTGTAGTGGTGATGTAGGTTTTTGTTCAGTTCATTTGCATCTTATGAGAGACATAGTTGAATGAAAGAATTAGTATTATTAATCACACATTGTATTGCAGTTCCTGAAATTATATAATTGTTTTGTTAATTTTAATTTTATTTGGTCATCACAATGTAAATCTGTCATTAAAATGATGTGCTCTTTTTCCTGGAGAATACTGTAGCTGTAATATTTGTTTTCAGTTGAGTTTGCACTGGCACTCAGACCAGATCTTTAACCCAATGACACTTGCATCTGAGGGTTAAATATGTTCTTTTGTTTGACCTCCAGTCTATGTGTACACACATTTTTCCTATAGAAAGGGTTAAACTCACATTTCAGTTCCTGTGCAAACAGTCTTGTGTATTTGAGGCTTGTGTGGCACTTTTTGTACTGAATTAAAGAGTAGTATGATTTTTATCACGACATATGGTCTAGGCCAGTTTTATCACAGTACTAAATGTTGATGTGTCAATGTCAGTTTCTGTCTTTGTGTGATTTTGCTCTGTTGGCATTGTCTAATTTTGTGATCATATTGTTTGGTATTAATGTCTAATTAATTTGGTAATTGCTACCTACTGTAGTCTGTATGAGTTTAAATGGCAAATAAGCATAAATGTGAAGGACAACAAGGATTGTTAACACTAACTAACAACTAACTAAATACACTAGGCCCACTATATCTACTATATTTACTATAGAACTACTATAACTAACCAACAGCTGTGATAACCTTTGAAACTTTATACAGGCATATACATTCTAAAAACACGTTTGAATGCTTTATGAAGATTAAAGAAATGTCATACCAGTAAAACTAAGTCATCTGATACAATATAAATAAATTCTTCAAACAAAAAAAAAACCAAATTAATTCACTAATATGTAACATTAAAGGAACTTGAAAATGTCTTAAAACCAGTTTTGGACGGAGTCTCAAGATCAGGTAATAAATCGGGACCCACTTTATAATTAAGCACGAATCACTTAAGCTAAGCCTGGAAATTTCAGGGTCCCTGAAGTTTAAATGGCCCCTCCTTAAAGAAAATTAATGTAAGATTGATTACTATTGCATAAGTATAAGCGGAAGGCCTTTCTCATCGAATAAGATGGCAACTGTTGCAGCTGCACACGTCTGTTTTGCAACCTTAATGAATAATGTAATAGCTAAACGCCGCAAACCAGAAGTGGCATTTAACAACCACGTATACAACTGAAAACACATGGACATCAAGCTTTTTTGAAAATCAGACACACAGGGTTTAAGCGGAAACGGAAGTATACGAGAACCCGCTGCCACTTCTGTAGACGTTTTCCCACAATCCACCTTGACAGGCAGAAGGCGCCTTTTGTAGCTCCTGCATGTCAACAAGGAGGAGCGGAAGAGACCCAGCTTTATTTAAAACATTGACGCATGAATACAATAACACGCTAGCTTTGTAGGACAATTCGCTTATTTTTCATTAATCTGTTTAACGGCTTTTACGTTAACCTTCCCCGATATGGCTCCGTTCAGTTTCATAAACGCAAGCGTTAGCCTGTTGGCTAAATCCTTCAGTGTCTTGTCCTGCACAAGCACTCTGGCAAGGTAGCTAATGTTAACCTCAAGTTACTTTAACGTATTAGTATATAGCTATGAGCGAATTGCTGTATAAGTTTAAGTCAGCTGTTATCGAATAACTTGTCAGTAAGTTACAGCTATGTTTTGATGTTAAATCACAGTTTATTAGCGTGCTTTGAACGGTTGTGAGGCTTTTTTATGGTGTACCTATCCAACAGAAAATATATTGTAGAGTATTTGTGTATTATTAGTCACAGTTAAACTTCATTTTCTACATTGCTAACGTTAGAAAGGTTAATGATGGTGTGATTACGACCAGAAATTGAATAAAAAGTCTTTTAACAGGTGCTGCAGTTTAATGCAGACATTTTTTGCTTAATGTAAACAAAATCATATGTCTCTACAGTAGATTTTAGTGTAAAATAATTTTTCATGAGAAGGTAAAACTGCCACAGAGAAAGAATTCTAGAATGGTCTCTCAATAATATGTTTGTGTGTACACATGCTGTAGGTGTACCAGTGCCCTCCCCACTGCGTACGTCAGCCCGGTGAAATGGCTGACCACACAGGCCTGTGGCCGTCCAAAGAGACCTCTTAATGCATACTTGAGATATGTCGTGCAACAGAAGCCAATCATAATCGAACAAAACCCAGGTAATGTGGTATAGTTTGTAGAAGACAACTGATATGGTAATGACAGCTCAGAGTAAGCTACAGTGCATTTGAAGTATGAAGGAAGTGTATTAAAATCTAATTTCACTACACATCCCTGAGCTATCATATCATATCATTCCATTGTTATTGAACATTTTTTTTTATTTTTGCCTTTAGAAATCAAACCAGTGGATGCCATCAGGAAGATTGCCCAACAGTGGAGAATGATGAGCCCACAACAGAAACAGGTATTTCTATCCTTTACTTGTTAAACAGAATAAACTGCAGTATGCTTTTTAGTTTCTCCTCGCTGATGTCCCGTTTCAACCCACAATTAGTGTCTGCATGTGCCGTCTGCACTGCTAGCACACTGACTGTGCATGTCCCAGACAAGTAAATTGGACATTTGTTTTTTGCAGCCTAATGTTTGTCCTGTTATCTCTTGTTAAGCTGTTGCACACATTTTTTTTAATTTATGACATTTTGTTCAGTCAGATAAAACAAACAAAAGAGCTTGTCTTGCTATCAAGAGGTGACCATCATGTTTTCTACTGCACATGGGTGGAACATGTTTGTTTATGCAAACCCTAGTTGAGAACAGGAGGAGACTTGGAATGGGCCTTTAAGCAGTGACCGTAAATGGCAGATCAGTTCTGTTATTAAATGTAAAACACATAACCAGTATCTTCTGCTTTCAAACAGCCTCTTCACATAAAGTTCTGTCAGTCTTCTGTGACCAAAGTTTTTTTTTTTTTATCTCTCTTTTCCAGCCGTTTGAGGAGGCATCTCTGCAGGCCATGGAGCAGTTTAAGGTGGACTTCCAGAACTATCAAACCCAGCTGACCCCAACACAGATCCAGCAACAGGTCCTGGAGAAGAAGCAGAGAATGGCCAAAAGGAAGGCCCACCGCAAGAAGAGGGTAAGAGATGGAGTAACAAGTAAGAGTAGATTACCTTTCTGTGCTCTAGGAAACATATTGATACACGTATACTTGATATGGAGATTATTTAGACATTTGACATTGGTGACACTAGCATTGTCAAAAATCTAGATTTTTCGATATATATCAATTCTGAAAAGTTTCTATACTCATTTTCCTTAGTACCAATACCTGCTGCTTTTTCTTGCTCTTTCGTTTCTGCGACAGCTAGTTTACACACACACACACACACAGACTCACACTGTTGCAGCCCCCACAGTCCTGTCTCCTCTCAGTCAGTCATTCACTCACTCACAGTACTGTTTGCCTCTCATCACTCATTTCATTTGCTCTGATTGAAGTTTAAGCTAACAACAGACTGTGGTATATTGTGGATATTTTTATGGTGTTAGCTTATTACAGATGACAAGTCCAGAACCTCTGTGACTAGTTTTGATTGGCAAAGAAAATGGCAGAAAACTGCACTGCTGTTTAGCAATGCTATGGAGCAGTGCTAACAATAGATGTTAACACAAATGATTCTGATACTGACTGCACATCACACACAATGCATGCTCCGATGCACAGAACTGGCACCCACGAGTGTTTGCATTTTGTCCAACAACACACTGATAATGTGGATGGTTCACAGTGACACAGTTTAGTTTCCAAAAGACAAGTGACAGAATGAAACTCAGATCATCCAGACTGAAAACTAGAGCATAATCTTTACGGGGGACTTTGGACACAAACATCAGATGCAACAATTGGCAGCAGAAACAAACTTTACATTTAACATACAGTAAGTAATGCTGTGGTGTAAACAGACTGTTGTACAACTGTAGGCCTACATGGCACATGCAGGGTACAGGATGGGCAAACACTGGCACATGCTTACCCATCATGAGCCCCATGCACAGCTGATGTGTTCGCTGTTGCTTGTTGACATGTCCTCCGTAGAAATTACACCCTGGGTCTACAGTCACACACATTTTTTGAGCTTTAAGTCATCTCTAAGATGATAATTCACTGCTGTAACATTGTAGATAATTCAGAAAACAAGGGAAAGCATGCCATGGGCTCTTTAAAGTTGTTTTGCTGCTGTAGTGCATGAAATTAAAATACATCCTTTTATACAAAGAAACTTCTTAAGTGTCTTTGAGTTCCTTGAAAAGCACTATATGAATAAATGTGGTGTTATAATTATTATTAATCAGACTCAGTAAGGGATTCGAAAATATTTGGATTTGAAAAGTGGATCTGAAATTGGACTCAGATTCGATGAAATGCCATCGAGCTCCAGCCCTGATTGTTTCAGTATTTATGAAGCTGACTGCATCTTTTAAAATCAAATGTAAAATGTTTGTTTTCCCTGCAGTATTGAATATTGATATTTTTTAAGGTATTGTGTCGAAGTTAGAAATTCCAGTGTTGTGACACCACTAGCTGACGGTATTTTGTCCTGTGTTGCACAGACCCCCACATTGTAGCAAAGTGTGTGAGCACGGCAAAGCTGCTGCAGGGTGTGTACAAGCAGAGCTATAAGTATAGAGCTTTCTCTGGGAGTAAAACACAGACTTGAATTGTCATTTCCAGTCAGCAAGCTGAATACTAGACCACATTACATTAACTGTCAAATTGCTGAACAGTAACTCTGCCTCCTCCCAGGAGTTAACCAGCCTGGGGAAGCCGAAACGTCCTCGTTCTCCCTTCAACATCTTCATGTCAGAGCACTTTGAAGAGGCCAGAGGAGCCACCACACAGGTCAGTAACCACAGCTCTATGATGTGACATTTAAAGACATATTTCAGGGTTTTTTTTGGATATAGGTGGTATGAGGTTCCCTGACTGGTGAGAACCTAGATGAGTACACATGGTGTCAGATCAACAGCATTTAAAACGGAAACGATGTCAGACACCGGGTCTCATGCAAGGATTGCTTGTACAGTGGGTACGGAAAGTATTCAGACCCCCTTAAATTTTTCACTCTTTGTTATATTGCAGCCATATGCTAAAATCATTTAAGTTCATTTTTTCCTCATTAATGTACACACAGCACCCCATATTGACAGAAAAACACAGAATTTTTGACATTTTTGCAGATTTATTAAAAAAGAAAAACTGAAATATCATATGGTCATGCAGTAAATGGCATGTACAAGTGCCAATATTTATGCTCATCATAAAAGTGGTTTTCATTTGGGAAGATTATCTTGCTGAACAAATGTGTAACTGTTATAAACTGTTGTTTGTCACAGAGCTTGTTTTCTGTAATAATCCAGATGCCTATGGAAAAATCCCATTGGTTTTTGTAGAGGGAACCAGAGTGATGCTAATTTCTGGATCGGTGTACAAAAATACATCATCCCTATAGCACACTGTATCCACATAGGTGTGTATGTCAACCAATCAGTAACAAGAAATTTCACTTTGGAAAGAACACACGCCGTCTCCACTGAAACTGCAGTCATTGCAGCTTTAGGTTGTAAGCCGACAGTTTTGGGCATAATGAATGAGACCTCGATTGCTCTGACAGCTCCACTGATATCGCATCAATTCATTCATTTTCACACCGCTTACTATTAATCAGTGAAAAACCTGCTACAAATACACAACTTATCAGTTTCCTTGGACATGCTGGAGTCAACGATGACACACACACACACATTAAAATAATTGTGTTGAGCAATGACAAGGACACTTCTGTAAATCATAAATGTTATTACAGCATTAACACTTAAATGGTTGTGAACTACGAGATCCTCAATTTACTGGATTTAGCAGCCAAATGGACCCACACACGACTCAAGTGGCAGTGAAAGTGGACTGAAACTTTAATTTGAAAATAATTGTTCCACCTGAATGCACATCTTTATTATAGGGAATTAGGAAAATACTGGGCTGATGAAGATAATTTCACACAGGTGAGTCACATTATGAGTGGCTTTCCAGTAAACTTAAAGCCTGTTACAGAAAGAGAACTGATATAAAGCACGACCACAGTGTATAATCAATGTGTGATTTTCTGTTACCTGTTTCTTGTCTATACACATAAAAGCCTGGGCCATTCTGACATCAGCGCCACTTGATAAGTGGCGCTGATGTCAGCATTTCTGTTTCTCACTGTCTAAAACTACAAACTCCGACTGTCAGAAAAATTACAACACATTAGTATGTCACCTTTGCAGCTCTGAGCGACGCCACATTCATTCTTAGGAGTGGGGTTTCTCATGCTGAAAGTGAGAGGAGGATGCCTCATAAGTAACTTAAGTCCTACTCTGAGGCAGTAGTTTTTTTTTTTTCCTAAATTGGCTTTCAGCACGATTCCTAGGAGTGATTCTGAGACGCTTGAAAAAAATGGACCTTGTTGTTTTCGACTTCAAACAGTTGATGGTTAACATGATTATATGTATGCATTTCATTTGCACAACAGATATTGAACTAATGTTGTTCCTGTTGTTCATTTAGGCAAAGATGAAGTCACTGTTGGAGGATTGGAGGAATCTGTTCAACCATCAAAAAAAGGTTGGCCATACAGTCCTTATATATCTTTTATTCTTGTAATTCCAAGGCCTTCATGCCAATGTCCCATGTTTGTTCCACATCTCAGGTCTACGCACAGTTGGCTGAGGATGATAAAATTCGCTACAAGAATGAGATGACGTCGTGGGAGGACCACATGGTGGAGATTGGAAGAGCAGACCTGGTTCGAGAGCAAACCCTGTCTTTCAAGAAAAAACATGCTGCTGCAGCCAAGAGAGAAAGAAAGGCTAAGGCTAAAGCGGCAAAGGACGACGCTGCCACAGGAAACATGACAATAAAAACAACCAGGAAGACAGTAAAAAGTAGCCCCACAAAAACTGTCAGCACCACTAATAAGACATAAGATGTTTGTATCTACTGACTCTGGAGGAAGAAAGGTGTGTTCAAGGACAACTGAAGACAGGAGTGCTGATAACCCAGGGCTGCGCCCTGCTTGTTTCTTTCGCCACTAACTTGAACGTGGCAAACCTCCTAGTTGCTGGTAATGCTTCTTCAACAGGGCAAACCTTTTATCATGCTTAGACAGGTCAAGATAATTTCACAGCACCCCAGTAATGCCTGTTTAGTGGAAGTGACACCAAATAAACCCTGAAAACATGATTATCTGGCATAATGTGAGCTTATTCTTAGCCACTTGACAATTCCACATCCTCACTCTGAGTGAGGCTTCTCTGCCGTCTGTCTGCTCTGGACTCTAAGCTCATTAGTTCTTACTGAAGATGTAAATATTACCAAAATGCCTCACAAATATATGGTTTCATTAATAAAAGAAACAACCGGTTGCTTTAGTTTTTAATCAAATGTTCCTCAAACAGGAGAAAATTCTGCATTTGCTGGGGATTTGTCAGCATTGGTTTAATCACGTGGTGCTCTGTAAGTGTTAGTGACAGCAGGATGGTGTATGTGGGACTGAGTCACATTCCTGGTAATGAAGGAATATGGCATGCAGTGCAACAGTGTGCCTCACTCATGTGCTTTAATAGTTTTTTGGATGCAGTGGAGTTCAATGGCATGAATTACCAAAGAGTACAGAAGTCACATTAGGAGCAGGTGGCATCCAGTCGGAAAGTTGGTGGTTCGTTTCCTGTTCTCCCCAGTCCGTGTGCTGAAGCATCCTTGGGCAAGGCACTGAAGCCTGAGTTGCCCACCGTCAGTAAGAAATATCCCCATGGGGTTTTATAAAGTGTCAAATGTTAAAAAATCAATTAAAAAACAGAAGTGTTAACATATTGGTGGTTTTGGTCTTTTCATGGGATTTATTAAAAATAAGAAACACTGAGCACAACAGCTTTATCCTGTTTCATCTGTGGAAGTGTGCACTCCACCGTGTAGCACTTGGCAACGTTGTACTCTGAGAAAAGTGCCGTTAGATGCAAATTTACAGACAGCACTAAAGATCTGACTACTACAGTCCCATGAGTGAAAAATAGTTTGTCCTGACATGACTGTATGAAATTAGTGAGTCTGCTCTTCAAACCATCACTTTAGGATTAAATAGATAAAGGACAAAGGATTAAAATGAACAAATCATCAGTACTTTGTACCTAATTTGCTTTTATTTATTTATTTTATAGGCACATTATCTTTAAATTTACACATTGTTTAATTTTTTAAGGATATTTTAAACTGAACCAGGAATAATACCTGGCCTTATGGGTCTTGTAATGTTTACTTGTTTTTATCTAAATATTACAAAAAATATTAGGTAAAGTCATGTGTTTCTGTTGCTATATTCTAGTTGTAGCCTGTGCCAGTCTTACCATCACATAGGCTAGATGCTTCAGCAATAGATGTATCTACACCCACGCCTTCTATGATATGGTGCCTCAATAGTATATGTAAAGTGCATCAATGCTTAATAAACTTTATGCAACTGTAAACATAGTTTGGTAAAACCTTTGACTAAAGGTCTAAAACCCACATCAAAGTAGAGTAAACTATATGTTTAAATCTAGCGAGTCATTCCTGAACAGTAGACAAAAAATATTCCTAAATCCTTTAGACAAAAACTGCGCATGGACTCCCTGGGGGAGCTCAGTGAGTACATCTGCGGTAGCCGTACTCATTCCCTGTTTTCTGTGCCTGCACCGCATTGTGCTTGCTTCCAGATTGTTTATGAATTAAACTTACTATTTTCTAGCTTCGTCTGAATTTTTGAGTGACTGAAGTTAGTCACGGCGTTCCACAGGGCTCTGTGTTAGGTCCAATTCTCTTCACTTTATACATGCTCCCTTTAGACAATGCTATCAGGAAGCACAGCATAAATTACCATTGCTATGCAGATGATACTAAGTTATATTTATGAAGCCAAATGAATCAGATCAGCTGGTCAAACTTCAATCATGTCTTAAAGACATAAAGGCCTGGATGACCTGTAACTTCTTACTTCTAAACTCTGACAAAACCGAAGTCATTGTGCTTGGGCCTGAAAACCTTAGAAATCTGCTGTCTAATCATATAGTTACTTTAGATGACATCGCTCTCACCTCCAGTACTACTGTGAGGAACCTTGGAGTCATTTTTGACCAGGATATGTCCTTTAAATAACACATAAACCAAGTCTCTAGAACTGCCTTCTTTCACCTATGCAATATTGCGATTGTAATTCTTTACCATCAGGATGTCCCAATAATTCCCTAAAAAGCTTCCAGTTAATCCAAAATGCTGCAGCCAGAGTACTGACAGGAACTAGCAAGAGAGATCATATCCCTCCCATATTAGCTTTTCTCCACTGGCTCCCTGTAAAATTCAGAACAGATTTTAAAATCCTTCTCCTAACATACAAAGCCTTTAATGACAAGGCTCCATCGTATCTTAAAGACCTCATAGAGCCTTATCATCCTAACAGAGCACTTCACTCTCAGGGTGCAGGTCTACTTGTGGTTCCTAGAGTCCACAGAAGTAGAATGGGAGGCAGAGCCTTTAGCTATCCAGCTCCTCTCCTGTGGAACCAACTCCCAGTCTTGGGAGGCTGACATCCACTCTAACTTTAAGAGTAGACTTAAGATTTTCCTTTTTGATAAAGCTTATAGGACTGTACTTCCCAAATATTACCAACATGTGAACATTCCCACCTGGGGCAACAACACTCTGGATCATGTTTACAATAACATACGGGGTGCATACAAGGCTGCACCCCACCCCCACCTTGGACGCTCAGACCACATTTCTTTGTTCCTGTATCCAGCTTACAGACAAAGACTGAAACAAACAAATCTTTTCACCAACCTAATTACACTCTGGGCCCCAGAGACTGAAGGCACCATGCAGGACTGTTTCGCCCCGACAGACTGGGATGTGTTTAAAGCTACAGCCACCTCGGAGGACTTCTCTGTCAGCGTACAGGATTAGGCTGAGTATGTGACCAGGTACATTAGTACCTGTATTGACAACATTGTGCCCACCATACAAGACAGGAGGTTCCCCAACCAGAAGCCCTGGATAAACAGTCAGGTACGCCACATGCTGCATGCTCGCTCTCATGCATTCAGATCAGGCGATGAGACGGAGTACAAAGCT